TGGGCCCCGTTCGTCTCCCCCCGACATTAGTATCAACTATTGAAATTATTGCAAAGCAAATCTCCTGGGATGTATGGGGGTTTATGGCAGTTTGGTCAGGAGAGCAGTTTTCACGCAGCCATCGCCACCCTCGTGCCGCCGGAAGGCGAAACTAATGATGTTGATGATATGATGGTCCTGATGTTGATGCTAATGATTGTTGTGGTTGTGATTCTGATGAGGTTAGTACAGGTGCTGATTATGCTAGTGGTGCTAATGATACAAAGTTCTAACATGGCTTGTTCTGGTTATTTGTGGAATAGACTCTTGTTAGTTTGGATATAGGGCTGTTAATACAGTCAAGACTGTTCCAGGACTCGCAGACGGGCCCCAAGTGTTCATCAGACCGTAGAAACCTTTTGGTGTTAACAAGTGGTTCAGTCTGATCAGGTGGTAACTACATACTACTTTTTATAAGTACAACACGCTGATGCTAATGATGCTGCTGCTGATAAATGATGCTAGTGATGCTACTGTTAGATACATGGACAGAAAGCTGGGGCATCTGCTATGGGGAGTCATTCAATTTTATGGTGGACATTCAATAGTCCTCGTCCTGGCAAGCTATTGCTTGACCTAAAAAAGGGGAATATGATATATGCCTGTATTTTGTACTGTGCCTGACAAAACTGGATGTGTGAGATGGTTAGGGACTTGCTAATTGGTGCTAGCATTCAGTGCTATTAGGCCTGTATATTGTAGCTGTTGCATTGTGATGTTTTTTAAGCTCAAGCGAGCTAATGATACCTCAACATGAAATAGTGTTCTATATTGAGTCTCAGTTTCATTAATATGCTTTAGGAAGGCGATAACTGGAGAGAGAGAGATCCGTTTTTGGTCTGTATGTGTTCAGGTGTGTCCTGTCCTGCTGAGCTCACTTCCTCATTGTGACTTTGCTCCATGTTGTCTTGTGTTAAAGCTCATTGCTGTTAGCATCGTAGGACTTTAATCCCTCATTCTGCTTCTACTAACCAAACCCATGGGTTTGCGAGTACTAAAACACACTCCACCTGCTTTTAGTTGGTGCTCATCTCTTAGTGAAGCAGCCATTACAGTTTTTTTTATTTTTTTTATTTTTTTTTATTTTTATTTTTTTAATACTCTTTATTTAACATTTTTCATTTCAATAAAACATACAACACACAGAACTTGGGGCACTGATACTTAGATAAGTAGAAATACAGAAACAAAATAATACATTACAAGATGATACACCTATGCTTCCTTGTTCTTGTACGTTAGCCATTTAGACCAGCGTTTGTTGTAAGAATGTCCTTTCATACGTAAAAGATATGTCAGTTTTTCCATAGAGTGAATCTCCTCCATGACATCTCGCCTGTTGTCACCTTTGAAGAAATCTCAACATGCACATATGTTAATCCCACCGAGGAATTGTCATGTTATTGCAGGATAAACCACACGGTGATCCTGGAGGACCCCTTTGATGACCCTGCCGGCCTGCCTGTGCCGGATCGATCACCTGAGCCCACCAAAGAGCAGCTGGATGTGAGTACAGCATCAGGGCCATAGAGTCTCAGAACATTTTAAGCAACACTAAGCTGAGTATCTGATAAAAAATAGTGCCTGACGTAGCCATAAACGTTCCTCCATGGGTCTCCAGAGTGGCCGTATTGGAGCAGACGAAGACATAGATGACACGGAGGGAAAAGCCGCAGAGGAACTGGAGGAGAGGCTGAAGGAGAAGGAAGCCAAAACCCAGGCCATCCTCCTGGAGATGGTGAGTTACAGCACTACCCTCGGTCACACACCGACCAATCGTGTCCGCATGGGGGATGTACCGTCTGCTGCCCCCCCCTCCAGGTGGGAGATCTCCCCGACGCAGAGGTGAGGCCTCCAGAGAACGTCCTGTTTGTGTGCAAACTGAACCCAGTCACCACCGACGAGGACCTGGAAGTCATCTTCTCTCGCTTCGGGAGCATGAAAAGGTGATGCTGCTGTCCAGCTTGTTAATTATCCGTGTCTGTCTGTAGAACCGGTTTGAAATTAATAATGAAAATGAATTATTTTCCACAAATGTGTCTCTTGTCTCCACTCCCCACAGCTGTGAGATCATCAGAGACTGGAAAAGTGGAGATTCCCTTTGCTATGCTTTTATTGAGTTTGAAAAGGTGAGAGTCTTTTGTGTTGGTATGCATGGCCATACAGTCTCTGACCTCTGCTTATACTCAAATACACATTAGGTAATAAGCCAAAATGAGCCCAGCCATGTTAAAATCAGGATTGATAAGGGCCTCTTTACAAGCTGATGGTTAGTCGGTGACAGAGCTCCCTGATTGGCTGTTCAAAAGAGCACTGGAAAGAGGCCGCAGTAATGACTGTGTTGCTTCTTCATTTCTTTAGAACAAAAACTCAAAACCAGTACTTTAACAACTCACTGACCTCACAAACATTTCCCTATGAGTTATTCATGCCTTTCAAAAGAGCGCCACTGCTAAAAGTGAGCTATCACTGTAAAATCGTCCTTTTTTTAAATGGAATGGAGTCATAGAGTCTGTTAGCTATTTTCTAACATGTTTATCAGCAATGGGATTAAGATAAAAGTTAAAGTTGAGTAAATAGACCCAAAGTGTGATGTAATACCAGCAGACTCGGTCAACTGTTGGCCAGCTGTCCAACAAAACTATTCGAATTTGGAAAGTTGGATGTTGTGGAATTTGCCAGAGGTTTTTTTTACTTTAGCTTACCTGGAATAAATGTTTAAATTCGGCCCTCTACCAGACAGTGAGGAACACCTTTTGCACCGTTACGTGGTTGAACAAAGACGTCTGACTGAATCCAGAACATGATTTTAAAGCCTAAGATGCCTTCAGGTCCACATATAAAGGTGTCGGATATCAGGGACATAATGTAATATATCTCTCTCCTTATTTCCAAACATATTGTCTCAACAGCAAGAAGACTGTGAGAAGGCTTATTTCAAAATGGACAACGTGCTCATCGATGACCGACGCATTCATGTAGACTTCAGCCAGTCAGTCTCAAAGATCAAATGGAAGGGGAAAGGTAAGCTTTCCTTAACTTCTCTGATGTTCTGTCCCCAGTCATTTTCCTTGATTTAATTGAAAGATGCTGCATTAAAGTCAAGCTTGTTGTTCATCACGAGTTTGCACGCCTTTCTTTCCCCTTTCTTCCTCTGCATCCTAGGTGGGAAGTACACTAAGGACGACTTCAAAGACTATGAGAAAGACGTGGAGAACAGGTCAAAACTGGCTCTAAAGGATCAAGTCAAGCCTAAACACGAGTATCCTTGTGTATTGCTGTGGGGCGTGTAATTAGTCATCATTATGCACCATGTGTACCAGCGTCTGTGTTCCTCTTCTTGGAGATTTCCGTAACTTTCCCAAAAAGTTCCAAGTATGACCTGCTGATTGAGGAGGAAGGAGAGACAACGAACCATCAGCACCTGGGGAAGAAGCACAAGGAGAAGAGGCACCGCCATTCAGACGATGAGAGCAGCAAAAAGTCCAAAAAGCACAGGGTAAATCCATGAGTCAGCACAAGTCGCTTTGTTTTCCTCTTGCTTTTTAGAGCTAATGGTTTGAGGCGCTGCTCTTGTTAAATAATGCATCGCCTACTGCTCCATTTGTGCTCTCAATTCAGAAAAACTTTTGGAGCTAGGCTGTAGAAGCTAGTGTATTTTCATGTGTTGCTGTCAGATGGACTTGATTCTACTCCCCAGATGACTTTTTTCAGATTGTTCAAGACATGTTCAGATGCTCACAAATGTCCATGCTCACAAATATATATATATATACA